AAATGCTCACACAGTAAACAACCTATACGTTTTTGTTCCTGCGTACACAGCAAACATAGGCTTGGGTTGGAGTGCGTCCTTGGTGCACCTAAAATAACTTAAGCCATTGAAAGTGAAATAGAACGTCTTCCATTTCTTTCGTATTCTGAAGGCCATGACAAGGCAGTACTCAAATCTAAAAAGCAGAGATCAAAAGATGATATTTCATAGATTAATTTTCAATTTGTTTAAGTTTTCCATGGTGACTATCGCTACAGAGATAAACGTTTTTAGAAGATGCATTTGATGTATATCGAAACACTGAATAAGAAATAGAGGTACGCTTAAAACTGTGTTGAAACTCTATGCAAGCTCTTCTTTGTCAAACTAATCAACGCTGTCGAGGTTTTTTATCTTAAAGCTACCGGCTATGATAAACTGCTCTCCAGATTGATGGATCGCTATGTACTAGAAGAGTAGTTTGAAGCAAAACTTCCTCGCTGTCCTGTTACAAGGTAATTTTTATGTCAATGACTAGCCCATTTATCGAAGTATATTTTGCTTAAACAATAAAAAAAGATGTTCTTCGATTTTCAAAGAGCAATAAACATTAGTTTTTCAAAAACTGAAGAACAAATTTCCAGTTCTTGAGAGCTGACGAACAGAATTTCAATTCTCTGTGTGAGACAAATGAAGAACAAAATTTCCATTGATTTTCCAGTACTTTGAAAAACTGAAGACCACCGTTTTTAGAGTGTAGTTTGAATCTAAAAAAAGAATACACTTTCGATTTTCGGCTAAATGTGAGAGAAAGTAATAAAGTCAATACCTAACCAGTTCCGAACAGTTTCTGAAAGTAATAGTAAGAGTCATATTTCACACTCCAATCTACATTACCCTAGTTACAGTAGAATTTTCAATTATAAAATAAATAAAATACTTTTGTAGAGGTCATGCATCTCCTGATGCTTTTTATGAGAAAATATTGCCGATGTGAGTCATGGATGACTCATCGGTAGCGAAGGACATGAAAAAATACTCTTTTACACTTGAGGGTCCCTTCCCAACTGTTCCCTCGCTTTTTCACTGAAACTAAGTGGGTTATAGGTTATCGGCTATGCTGATTTCTGAATATACCAGCTGCCCTTAGATTTTCAGAAAACAGTTTTCTGGAAAATCAGTTTTTCAGGACTCTAAAACATAACTAAAACCTTTTCTTAATGAGACATGACTGTACCACGCAAATTTGTGAAAGAGATGGTAAGTTCTTGCATCCCTCCATGTAGCTTTACCTTTTTCAATGGCTTAAGTTATTTTAGGTGCACCAAGGACGCACTCCAACCCAAGCCTATGTTTGCTGTGTACGCAGGAACAAAAACGTATAGGTTGTTTACTGTGTGAGCATTTGGCATTATGTTTTAGCTACGGTAGGACAGCTCGAACTTATGCAAGCTGTGCTATTAAGCAAACCTTAAACTGTTCCTATCCGTACGCATCGTTTTTATTACACATACAGCTATAAACTTCATCTCAAAATAGTTTATTTCGCAAAATTTGTGGGCAGATCAAACTTCATAAAACTATAGTAGCGGTTAATTTTGCCATGCGAAACTAAGCGGAAAGTTATCATAGGCTATTTTGATAGCAAAGTTCATCTGTTCAGGCTCACTTTATTTGTGCGGGTAGCCGTTAGTCAGAAGAACATTTTTTGTTATGAGATCATATGATGATTTTTTACCAGCAATATCGACCGACTGATTATACTTCATACTAATGTCGGCGTTATAATTCATGCCGGTACCGGTTGCACCTCTGATTCAGAATGCACGTGCACTTTACTTCCGCTTAGTGCACTTATCATAGAAACACTGAGGCTATGGCGAAGATAAAAGAAGTTCGCACATAAGACTGAGATTTCTGTTCTTCTGCTCTTTTGGCCCTTTTAACGCCTAAAGAACAAATAAACGAAGACGATTAAGACAAATTACTAATAGATCTTCGGTAAGTAAACAAACTCAAACCGCTTTCTTTTCTTTAAATGAGTATGGAGGAGACGAAGTGAATAAATAAACAAACGAACGTTGTGTGTCGCTCATGACAAAGTTCATGAAAATGGCTTTAAGCTTATAAAAATGTGCGGTCTAATAGATTAAGAAGCAAACACTATCGCTTTTGGGCTGATTAGCAATGAACGAATTACACTGTTGTGATGCGGTTCATGCTCCAGTCGTCTGTAGCTCAGACGATTGTATGTTTGCTTCTTAATTCCAGGTGCCCACGTTCGAATCACACTCAAACCATGTAAGTAATATTTGTTTTCTTTCATTCTTCACTTGTTAGACGCAGTCTTGAGAGCAGTGAAAACTCTCTAAGTGAGTAAATAGACCCTCTAAAAAAATGTCAGATCAATCCTGCATTTAAAAAATTAAATTTTTTTAAATTTAAATTTTTAACGCGTTTAAACGCATCAATTTCAAACGCGTTTCGACGGCCAAAATTGATACGACGAAACGCGTTAAAAATTAACGGACATTGACGCGTTTTTGTAGCAGAAAAAGTTTGCCCGGGCATATTTATGGCAGGCCATTCAGTTTGCTGTGCGGCGAAGATGAAGGTGAAAACCCAATCTGTCTTCGATAAAAATAGTACCATTCGATTCCTCGTGATCAGAGGAACATTTCTATATATTTTGCTTTTAAAACATTTTAATTTTGTCCTTCAAAAAAACTTTTTTTCTTCGAAGGTGTAGAAAACGCAGTGTATTTGAATCTTTTTATCATTGTAATTAAGTCAAACTAAATTGTTTTTGAAAAGTTTTCACATAGTTGGATAGAGAATTGTCTCCTCTACTTCGGAATCTAAAATTCCCTTTTATCACTTGAAAAATGGCTGAGAAAATCGAGAGTTACGAAAAAGTTAACAGTCTTAAGATATGTTATATAAAGTGGCGGACAAAATTTTAAAGCACCTTTTGTTTTTCATTTTTCTACGTGATTAATTTTGTTCTTATACTTTATTCAAGCGCCACTAATGATGATGTTTCTCTATCTTTTCTCACATATACAAGTACTAATAGAATGAACAAGCGAGTATGTCAGCCTAACATTTTCTCATCCATGAACGAGAGAGAGATAGGCACGAAATAATATTTTTGAATTTCTCTTTCTCAAACATTATATAACTAGGAGTTTATTGTCTGCTTTCAAAAGAATAAGTTTGCAGCCTCTTCTACTCTAATCTAAAACTTCTTTCTATTGGGATCGCCGCTGCACCCAAAAAATGTGTATTTTGACAACTTTACATATTTTTGATTTCTCAGAAACTATGAGAGCTGTATTAACCATTCACATCTTGTTTGAAAGAGAGATCTTTAACCTATAAGATCATCTATTTAGACATAATATACGCGTATTTGTCTAAGACTTATAAATACAAAAACTAAAACATAACATTCTGTATTTTTAAATACGCATTTTTCCAGTATTTTTTAAATCTATAGTGCGCATATAGCATTGTCAAAATAAATCTTGCTTCATAGTGCTTCAGTAATACAATGAGCAGCCGAGTGTGTCAGTCTAACAGTTTCTCTTCCATGAAAGAAAGAGATAGGCACAAAATAATATTTTTTGAGTTTCTCTTTTTCAAACTTTCTAAGGAACAAATGAATTGTATCATCGCCTACGAACAGTTCAAATTTTAAAGTTAGGTAAGACTCATTGCGCAATAAAATCAGCATCCTTAATGTTTGTTAACTACCGGATAGCAGTTCATGAATGTTTAGCTAACAGACTCATTTTTAACAGTTTTTCGATTTATCTATGAAATATAAACGTCAGATTCATGATTAGTATGTGAAATTAATGCGCACAAAAGCCAGAGGAATGGTTGCATTTCTGTATTTTCTAAGAATCGTTGAAATTCCTGTGCTTACGTACTTGTATAATATTGTTCATTCAAAAAAAGAGTAAACTATGGCGATCTTTTGTATCACTTCTGACTGGCGCTAACTGGAGAGTTGTAGTTTTAAATATGGAAAGTTGAGGTTATGGGTGTTCCTATAGCAGGTGTTGCGCTGTGAATGCATGGTGACATTATAGCTGGTGTTCCCCATAATGAAAAAGTGTTCCACCATCTGACACTAAATGGGCTGTGCATAAATTACGTGATCAAAGTGTTTTTTTCGGCCAGATGTGAGTCTAATAAAGTGGCTCCTCGCATAGTTCTTAAAATTAAAAATAACATAAAAAAATGAGACTAGAAAACACCTAAAAATGAGATAAAAGATAGATCGGGTAGTTATTAGATCTGTTCGGATAGTCTTTGAAAAAGTGTTCTAACTTCAAATAATCTTGTCATTAAGTATGCGGTATGAACTATATAAAAAGAGAGAAAGTTATGATATTTCTTATGACAAACCTTACACAACAATCATGGCTATTCCTACCGATAATCGAGAATTTTACAAAATATTAAATGATGACAATTTGCTATCTGAATTCGTTCGCGACCAAAGTTTTGCTCAGAAAAGTGAAGATCATACATGTCATTGTGGTTCCTCGATGGTTGATGGTGCAAGAAAGAAGAAACTGAAAGATGGTACTGTGAAGGTCTATCCAACTATACGATGTACTAATCGACAATGTCGAAATCAATTAAGTGTTCGCAAAAACACGTTTTTCTCATTTACTGATGCATTAGACCGACCAAATTCAAAACTTGATATACGTACAATTCTGAAATTAATATGGCTTTGGTGCCTAGGAACTTCATCATCAACCATTTCCACCTTGGTACATGTTACACAAACGACTGTGGTTGACTGGACTAAGTTTTTGCGAGAAGTAAGGTTTCTAGAACTTTTATAACTTGTTTCTACTCTTAATCTATTGTAGGTTTGCCAAGAGAAGCTGAATGATGCTCCACAGATGGGTGGAATTGGTGAAGTAGTACAAATAGATGAATCGTTAGTTCGTGGTAAACGCAAATATAATCGTGGTCGTCTACTACTTGGCAATCGTAAAAACACCACAGCTGCTAACAACAACGATAATAATAATAATAACAATGGTCTTGTTCAATATTCAAGTTGCAGTTCGAGTGATGATTCAGATTCCAGCAGTGATCAAGCTCAGGCAAATAACAATAGAAATTATGAATTAACAACATCATAAATGTTCATATGATCAAAAATATCGAAGAATAATTCGTTAGATAGAGATTCGAGTTTTGTCGATGTCATTAAAACGCTCATCTAAAGTCACCAAAAGTTCAGTGGAGGAATCAAGCGTTTGACAGTGTTATGGCACATATTAAAGACGTGCCATAAGAGACAATTGTATAATAGTCATATATATATTCGTTCTCTATTCTTCTGCTATGGGTATTTTCTCTTCTTGTCATATATGTATCTGTATTGTTCT